TTCCGTGACCTGCAACCTCATTTCGCCCTCCGTCTGACGGAGGGCATCTTCGGCGACGGTAAGAGCGATAAATAAAATTAGCAGGAGCCGTGATGGATCGCACCCATGCTTCTGTACTACGTGTACTTGCGTGTGAATAGTTTATCGCGTCCCGTTTATTGCAAACAGATCAGACCATTTATCGCGCTAGTGGCCTTGCAAACGAAATGTATTGTGATAAACGACAGCTGTCTCTTCTGTAAGAAATATATATAAATATAAGTGTGCGTGTGTTAATAAAAATGTATAATAAATTATATTTGTGTGTGTGTGTGTGTGTGTATATATATAGACATATATGTATATGTAACGGTAACAATTCGAAAATATAACGAAATAGATTATTTGTTTATACGAACTGTTGTTATTGTTCACCAATGCTGAATCCATTTCTGAAGCATGTTCCACATATTAAAAAGTTACGTTTTGTTCAATAAAAGTGAATATTTGCACAGTTGCTTTTGCATCTCTAATTAGTGAACTCGAAAAATTAAATAACTTGAATAAAAATAGATTTGAAGCTAAATACACAACCAAAAATTAAGTTTTTTAAACATTACTTCGATTTAATCTCCTTTATGCTGAAAATTCTTCGACGCACAAGCAAACCCAATTAGAGTCGTTTGGTACGTTATGACAAACTTGGAAAAAAATTGAAAAAGAATCAAAGGCTGAACGTTTTTAGAACTTTATTCAAAAATTCTAGTTTACACACCCGTGTTTCTTAATGGAAATTTATGCAGAACGCGCTATACGTAATTTCAGCTTTCTCCCCCTCATCAACAAGTCCGTCTGTCCGAGACGGAAATGGTGACTTTATCATCCTAAATTCGCGCTAACTAATGAGAGACGAAAATTATATTCTTTAGCAGGACGTTATTTTGCTGGAAATAATATTCTTTGACGAGATACGCATATCGTTTCGCATCCTCAAAAATTAAAATGCATACGTAAAAGTGAGCTCTGCATCATTATAATTGTCATAAAGGTCTGGTTAAATTCAAAATTGTCAGAAATGCTGGCAAAGTATACAGGGTGAGATATTTAAAACAGGTCACCTGAATAACTCGCTTGTTTTTAGCAATAGAAGGAAAAGTATCAAACAAAAGTTGCTTGGTTTCGAGGGGCACGTAATGTGATGTTAATAATTGTTTTATAGGTGGAGGCGTAAAAGATAGGCTATACAGTGACCTATACTTGAAGATCATTCAAGGTTACGCAAGGTTAATAATGGAAAATAAATTATTCGAAGAGTGCCTTGAAACAATTTATTTATTATCACTGTATTCGTCTTAAAATGCTCTATCAGAATATAAATAAAAAAAACATATCATTCCATTTAAAAAAACAGATTTGACCTTTACGCCTCCACTTACAAAACAATTTTTGATACATTATGTGCCTCTCGAAACCAAGCAACTTTTGTTTGATATTTTTCCTTCTATTGTTAAAAACAGGCGAGTTATTCAGTTGACCTGTTCTAAATGCCTCACCCTGTATAATGCAAAATATACCTAAATATTTCTTTAGCAAACGATAAAAATGCGAGGATTAAAAAGTCAAAATTTTTTAATCAAAGTTATTGTTATAGATGTAAAAAAATTGAAAGCATCGTATTTGTGAATATGTCATAATTTTGTAAGTTTATAAGTATAATACGCATAGGTAAAATATCTAAATACAAGCACATATGTATATATGTCCCAAATATCAACACTTGCAGAATATTAATAATGGTACCAACGATACAATGTTTGCTCTTCTGTTAACTGTATTAATGGATGCAACAAGGGAGTTCAATTGTGTTTGCTGAAATTACATTCGCTGGCAAACAATTGCGATACTACGATCGCATTGACGTTCCGCGTATTCGAGGATGAAAATATTTCGCGAGACGTTTGTAGGTGTAGGCAACAAATATGACGATAGCTTTATAATTATCGTATTACAATATTGTCACGTTGTGTACGTCACGTTGCAAGTTACGAGGGAGAAACAGTGGCAACAGCAGGCGGGGCGAGATGAAAAGCGTATATAACAGTTTTTCAGGCCGTAAACTTGTAATGTCATCAGACCAAGGATCGCTGGTAGATGGTTGTAATCTGTCTAACCATTTAATTAATCTCCGCTTGAACACGTAAAAACGCGCCAAGTGTTACCGCTGCCCTCCCAGCTGCAGCTTGTGTTCTCTCCATCTAAAAATGTGTCATCATGGTATCGTCTAGTAATCACTGCGAAAGTGCTATCGATTTATACTACATAATAGCTTGTAAATCGTAACGTATATGCTACTTGAAATATTTTCATACTGAAGCAGTTCTATCAGACTTTACATTCCTCAGTAATATCGATAGCGAGACAAAAAAATTATACGGCTATTTCCCCCCCCCAAAAAAGAAAAATTTTATATTGCAAGTAAAACGTAAAAATTCACCTTGCAAAATATAATACGATCGATTCCTCGTTACTACTGAAATTCGTGCCGATGTTATTGACCATTGGAATATTCTGCCGTTATACGCAAACAAGTTATAATATGAAATGGCCACGGGTCAATGAAAGAGCCAATATTAAAAGTGTTTCTTTTGAATGAATGAGAACGATTGAAACGAGAAATTGAACAAAACTGTGTTCTGTCGATGAAAACTATACGTTGCATTTCGCAAAATGCTGTATATAAAATTTTACAGCATATTTTCAGATTTTGCAAATATTAGCTACTAATCTCGGGGAATCGACTGTCGAAATAAATCTACATATCTATTTAAAAGCAAAAGCGTAATGAGATATTAATCACTCTCATACGTAATTATTCTCTATAAATTTAGTAAACTATATGTGACTATAATGATGCAAATTAATTCTCTTTTTTGCCAACTATCTCCTTTATACATATAATTATTTGTATATTAGTAATAAAGAAGAATATCATAAAAATTTTATTTTTAATATTCTATGATCAATTATGTACAGTATTTAATTTATACATATTTATTCATGTCTAATTTGTTAAGAAAAATATAACGCGTCTGGAAATAAATATCTCTTATTTTGCTCGGCACGTAGTGTGAAGCAACGATTTAATTTCTTGACGACGACGATGAGATACGCAATCGTGGATAAAATTTATTGCATTATTTGATCATAATTTGACTTCAAAAGGGCCTATAAGGTAATACTCGTTGACAAAAGGCTTTGCCAGGTTACACGGTCGCAAACAGAATTAAAGAACGCCTAAAAGGATAATCCGTAGCATATTCGCGTCGAGAACCGCGGCAAATATATCTGCTCTTTCTTTCATAACTCTCTCGAGTAACGTCTCAATCAAATCATAATTACAACGTATCTCTTTCCGACACTGTTGAATTAATAAGTTTTAGTTTAATTATATGGATAAATCGTCATTTCGTTTTCTCATCCGTTCCGCAAGATTTCTCGTGTGCAGCTCCGGATTGGCTTAGATCTTACGTGGAAACTCAAGGGAGCTGTCTTAAGAATACGAAGATTATGTTTTGCATAAGCTCCGACAAACTTCCGCTCTCATCGCTCTACACTATCTCTTTGTAGTCGACTTAAAAGGCGGATGCAATTTTACTTTACGGATAATTAATAATTAAATATCGCGGAGCTTTCAAAGGTAGCGCAATACGGCTCAGGATTGTAACCATCCTTTCTTCATTGAATATCATATAATTCGCGTTTCATTTTTATTATATTTATCTTCAGAGATATATTATGAAATTGAAACGCGCGCGCGTGCGCGCGTATCGTGAACGTTTTGATAACTTTTGCATCTGTAATCGATCCCTATAGGTCTCTATATGATCCTTATATGGAAAGAGGAAAAGCCTGTAAACGCGAAGGAAAGCATAAAGGGCGATCCACTTCGAGACGCATCAACAGATACGTGAAAGGTTCTACGGATACGGAAACGGAAGCAAACGAGTGCGAATGTAGCGGTAAAGGAAACCATGTCATAGAGGAACTACGAGGAGAAGAGGCACGTGCCCGGTATTTAGGAGAGGCAGTAACGTAACAATAGGCAAGTACAGGGGTGAAAACGGTAATGGTGTGTCGCGGTTCGCCCGAGCTTACTTTTATGTCTCACCAGGGAACCTCCGCCATCTCTTTCTCTTCTCTTTCCCTCTGTATATCGTTCCCCTTGACACGCGCACTCACACATGATCGTGACTTTCAACACCCCTTTGGCTGCCTTTCTACCGTTGCCGTCTCTCATTCTGTCCCTATCTTTATCTCTTTCTCCTTCTCTTGCTTTCGTTCACTTGCACGCTTATTTTAGCGCAGCGGGAAGCAACCCAGAAGCGAAACAGAGAGAGGGAGAGAGAGAAGTGAGAGACCCAGCAGTAAAGCCCGCTTTGTCGTCGGTTTCCTTTCTATGTTATTAAATTGTATGTGTTGAACCCCTTTCTCCAAGCAACGTACTATACCGACGTAGTGCAATGCCGCAGTTGCCACTTAGAGGCTACCTCACAGCTGCACCCAGTCTATACCTTATTTGTCGGCAGGTACCTTTACTCTCCCGAGAAATCTGGTTGCCCAAAATCTGATTATGCGATCCCTTTTGGATCTTTACTCTTTACTTTTCTCTTTTTTCGTTTTTTTTTTTGCATCAATATCATGATTTTTAAACGAAGATATGTTTATGATGTTATCGGGATGTATAAAACTATTTAAAATTTTTTTTAAAGTAAATCAATGATTATCGTAATAAACTATGGTAGATTAAGTAAAAAGAAAACATTTACGTGAATTTATAAAAGATGAATAAATTTAGAAGTTATCAAAGGAAATGCCATAGAAAAGACCGATGCCGATATAATGTGATTGTACAATATTTTTTAATAATGGTTATAGTGATAATTGCTCTCTTTCTGGCATAAGAACAATGATATTAATCTTCGACAAATCATTACAATTAAATAGATATAAAATATACTTACAGTCGACCGATACTTTGATCTGTTTACTAACTGTCGGTGGTATGCCGTTGCTGGCGATGCATAAATATGCGCCCATGTCCAATCTCGAAATTCGCGCCATTTCCAGCGTTTCACCCTCCCATTCTGGCACTGAAATCGCAACCGGTCAATATTTATTACTTGTTAATCGATTAACTTAATTATTTTTCATTTTCACAAAATGGCATATAAATATTTTCTAAAAATATATCCCATTATATGGCAAGACTTTGTGGTAGATAAAAGGATTTCATACATTCTCTCTTAAAATGTACAGAAATTTTGATTTCTTTATTTTTAAAAGAGAATTAATAATAATAATAATAATAATAACTGTATTAAATTGCAAATAAGAAACAATGAAAAATATGTGTGGATTTGTAAAATACATAACAAAGAATAGGAAAGTGTACTTTAAAAGGCATCAACTCTGCCTCAAAGCTTAAGCCCATAAAGTACATAGTAACATATGTATACATATAAAACCGCCGAAAAAACAAACTAATAAATTGTTTGCTGATGCAAGTTGCAAAATGAAAAATAAAATGAATTAAAATAATATAGAAAGTTTAGATAATCTATTTTAAAAGAAAAATATCGAAAATATAATGCAGTGTTAAAATAATAATGGTAATAAAATAATAATAAATTTCCTATCCAAGAATATATAATATAATCGTTTTGTTATATACCGCGCGATAAAATTTCGTCATAAATTATTGTAATATATTGTACGCACCAGATAAAGTTTTGTTGATCGAGATTTTGGTACCGTCGTCTCGTTTCCAACGAATACTAGGAATTGGACTTCCAGTCGCTTTGCAGGTGAGACTCACATTAGCGCCCTCACGAACGATTGCATCCGACGAGCTTTGCGAATCGTCAATATTTGGTGGCACTATAACAATAAACACAGAGTGCTGTGGTCAACCACTAATAATACAAAATTTATAAATTTACGAGATAGGAAAGGAAAATAAGATATATAGACAGAAAACACAGTCATGATTTAAAGTTTCATTACTCATTAAAAATAAAGTAGTAAGTATTAAGTAGAAATGGTACTTTTGTAATACATACATAAATAGAGAGACGCACACACATTTATGTATTACAATATGATTTACATAGGCATACATACTCATTTAATAAATTCGTCGCTCTTTCTTCCCTACATATTGTATAATATAATTATGTTACAGAAACTCGCTTTTTGATTCCATAAAGAGATAAAATGTATAAATAAGAGCCACAGTACAGTGATCGATTATTGATAATTCTTTAATTGTGCTACGACAGCAATATCATTGTGCACTTCATATTTGTGTATATTGATCACGTCGTCACTGTTCTTGAATTAAACGGACAACCACGTGTGCGTGCGTGCGCGAGAGGCGTATAATTCAATTATAGTGTCGTGGTGGTAATGAATAATATTAGTATTTGAACATACGTCGTCTGCTACATCGACGTTGATCAACCTGAAAATGCAAGTAGGTAGCATTGGCTGACATATTTAAATGGACAAATATCGCGCTGCTTATATGCGACTGTGACACATCCAAATTACTCATCTTCTTCTTATACTAATTAATCAATCAATTTATGACAATCGACATATTAACGAAAAACATTGCTTCAATGTTATTAACATTTTTCGTTGTCAATACAAGACGATGTGTCATTTAGTAATATATATTTGCAATTTTTACATGATTTTTTGTATACATTGTGTAAATAAAATAAATTGCAAAAAATTTTGTTAGATAAAAATAATTTTATATTTATCGTATTATAAATCGTTCTCTTGATTAGTTATAACCTCGATTAATAATTTATCTTATTTTGTAACATAAACGAACAAAAAAATATATATTTTTTCATATTCAAATTAAAAATGTTGATTATATTATTATAACGAAATAATTAATACAATATAACGCATTGTTAAATTTAATCGTAATGTACTGCAGTAACATTTTTTCACTCGAATGAGACCACTTAAGAATAGGTCCGTTCTTGGGTACAAAAGAAACGTCGAAGAAATCTAGCACGACGTAGAATTATAAAATTATGAAATCTCAGACGAGCAAAAAGAAAAGCTTTTTCTCGTTAAACTTAAAGTTCAACGCCTGTAAGAATGCAACCATGCAAATGAAATAAAAAAATAAGGCTTAGAATAAAAAAGCCGCAGTGGATGATAATATTCACTAATAATATGTGCTGAATAGCAGTAAATTTAAACATTGAAAGTAAAATTATTTATATCATAGCATATCTAATTTCAAATAGATGACTGAAAATTTAATTTCTCTATTCGTAATCTCTAACGCCAAGGATTCCGAAATATTTCGTATTATTCTCTGTTTTTTTAGATAATGTAAATTAGATATCAGAAATAATTTATCATAATTAATTCTTACACATGATTTAATATAGTATATATATATATATATATATATATATATATACGCACATATATATATAAATACAAATATATAATATTGCAATAAAATATATATCCAGAGAGAGAGAGAGAGAGAGAGAAGGGAGAGGAAATTAAAAGTTATCACAACAAACTATTTCTGAACACGTATATATGAGAGATAAAAAAGATATTATTTTATATAACTTTTACATAACAATATTTTATATAACTTTACACATGAATAAAAATACTACAAGTGAACTGAATAGCCGTTTTGCCCTAACTTTGATAATGGAAATTAATTCGAGTAGAATATTGCAATCTCTCTGCAGTACATCCGCACATATCTCGACACAATACATTTTTCCGGTATTGTTCTTTGCATTTTTTCCTATATGATCATTATAAAGGGAATTTCTATATTGTTCGATATAATTTGCATTGTTATAACAATCAATTGGATAAAATAAAGTAGCACAATAATTTTTAAGTAACATCAATTTTACTTCCTATCAAAATTTGTTATATATAATACAATATGTCATTAAATGCTGTAAAGAGTGTAAAGTATGTAACGTTACATAAATAATGTATAAAAAATACACAATTTAAAGTGAAAATACATAAAATAGTGTACTTTTACATAATTTGTACTTTTATCTTTAACTATATAAATATAATATCTTTATATTAGACAAAAATTATAATAGTATATTTTATAGTTTTTATGTAAATGTACAAATTTTTATAATATTATACAACGTAACGGTAATATCACACTTTATTATATTTGCATTTTAATGTTCGTACATGTTGATAACATAATAAGAAAAATGATACAATTCATTAGCGAATTATTACGTACGGAAATATTTCTATAAACGACTTTAATTGTAAATTTAGTTCCGTGCAAAAATTATTTAATTACTATAAAAAACTAATTTAATTTGTAAGTAGTAACTTTATTTATATACCTGAGTAAATATATACAATACGCCTTTAATAATATAAATCTCAAAATTATCTACTGTGACTTTGTTGTAGATTTTCGTAAGATTTGCTTGCAGTGCAGAAACAACTATTATCTCTAGAAAACGTCTGATATTTTACGCATCATTTAATTCTTATAACTGATATCCGAACGAGAAGAAAATGTGCCTTTTTGTCTATCAACAGCCGCGTGGTCACCGCGTAGGGAATGAGGGAACGCGGCCAATCCTATGAATTACCGCAGGTGTCCGCCAATATCCTGCATTAATGCTAATGCGGGGTGTTACCGAATTGTTGAACAAGGGCAGATTGAACGCGCGCGGGAGAGGTGCGGTCTGCCCTCACTCTCGCCATTCTGCACACCGTTATACTGCAGCCGCGTAACGGTCTGTTGATGCATTATTCAAGCGCAAACGCCGCCTCTACCGCGCGCGTGTTGCCGCGCTGTTGTGCGTTAACTTGTCCTAAACTCCGGCAGCACAACGTTCGGGAGACGTCGGAGGAGAGGGATCGCTCAACGATGCTCACAGGAGTCGGAAGTCTTGAGAGTAAACGCGCGCGGGCAACCATTCTGACATTTCGAACGTGCACAAAAATATGCGTTATGTGTATCACACACATTTAAATATCCAAATATTGACAATTCCAAACAGGATTTCGCCGTTTTTTCGTCGATTTGCCAGTATCTCTCTAGCAAAATAAAAATGTTCCTCCTTTCGGGAAAAATATAAAGCTGATCTTAATTTTTCAATTTTTAAAATAAGCAACAAATCTATATAATTGATAAAAATATCTATTATTTTAATAATATACTATACTGATAAAATTCATAATATAGATTTTAAATATAAATTGAAGAGAGAATCGCAGGATTGAAAAACAATTGTTTCTGTAATGCAAAAAGATGTATAATACGTATGTATCATTTCATATAAATATAATAAACTTACAAAATACGTTGTATTATTGTTATAATTTTAGAACGCTGTTTTATTCCACTGGAACATATTTCAAAAGACCGAATTATTCTAGGATGATTATTGAGCTTCATCGTGAATGAAGTCATTGTAAGCTGTAGATTGCTAATTATAGCATACCCTTAGGGAACCTAATGCCATGTTCATATCGTATCGTACAATATACAATATGATACGCCTCTTGACTGATGTAAGCCGCATAGTTTATGCGCTTCATAACTTCATTTACGGAGAATATAGAACAAGATTAACTACAAAATACATTTACGATCAAGCAATGAGTTGTTTTTATAGATAATTTTGTAATAAATATTATAATTTTGATAATACGTTATATAATTTGAAGCATTCATAAAAATATAACAAAAAATTTCAAATAGAACTTGTTTTTAAATATTTAAAAAATATAGAAAAAAAATTACGTTATTATCTGTTTAAAAAAAGTTACTTAAAATGCTTGTAAAATATACTGATAATAAGAAAAATTTTTGTTGCTATCTGTAGCCTTTGAGAAAATAATTTGTATAAATTAAGTGTATCTTTTTATAGACATATAACATAAAGAATTAAAAAATGTTCAGCTGTTAAAAACACAGAGATACGTTGAGTGTTTGCTTTTCAATTTTATAGCTTCTTTGACTTTTATTTCATTTAAAAGTGAGCTACTGATTAAGTCTGAGCTTTTGCTTTATTTATAGAAAAGTGATGAGCAACCACGTATGATCGACAGATCGAGAAATCGGAAAAGAGGTTTAATAACTAAATAGACAGAAACAAGAGACGTATAATATCCGATATGTTTATCTGATCCTGAAGTTAACAAACGTTTTCTATGGCAAGAAATATCGATATTTTAACGGCATTTGAATGACATGGCGATCAAATACGAAAACTTTTTTTCAGGTCAATTCTTCTCTATTCGTAAGATTTATAAATACACATGTATTAAAATTTGACATGATTGTGAAAACTTATTTTCAAAAAATGTTTTGGGTTTCTTCTTATCATAAAAAATAAAAAGTTATACTTTAAATATGGAGGGAAAACTTGTTTTGTAGGTGAATACAGTGCTGATGATAATTAACCGTTATAAAGTTGATGAATCAATGAATTCTACTTTTCTTTTCCGAAAAGGAATCGTTTAATCGGCTAACCATTCCGCAAAATGAATCGAGAGATTATCTCGTGCGGCAAATATGGAGACAGATATCTAGTAATACCTAAATACATTGACGGAAGCTTGTTATGCGCGATGTAGTCATGGCAGATCGCCATTGTGTCGGCTCCATCGGCATTATCACGAAGTGTCGAGAGAGTACCGCAAGGAGATCTTGTGTGTGTTTGTGTAACGGAGAGCAAGAGTCCCGTGGAAACAATTAATCTAGCCCTCTGATTACTCCACACCAACGCATCCGTCCCGGGCCCCCATCCACGGTATCGTTGCTCTCGCTTCAACGGTGGCTGTAGCTGAGATGTCAAAACTCGAGATATTAATATGTTCTCTTGGCAGGCAGAGAGATGGCGACCATCTCGAGATCTTATTGATATTCTCCTTTTACTGATCAAATTATTATAGCTCCGTTTTCCATGCAAAATTAGCGGGAAGGGGATACTTTCGCTCTCTAAACATAAATCTGTTTAGACGGCTGCGATAAAATGCTTATGCTCTGTTGCAAACTTCGTGACTCCGGTAAACTGACTCCATTACGCGAAATGAGATTTATTCGGAGTATCTAATGGATTCACAGTACGATACGATAAAGTCGTAAATAACAATCGACCGTGGCATGTTCTCTGCTATAATGGCGCCGCAGAATTAACGTAAAACGGAATAAAATAGTACTTTTTTTCGAAAATGATGAAATACAGTAAGACATATTAGCGAGAAAATGTGGTCGTCATTATTCGCTAATAGAAATAATTATCTTTTATAAATAAATTTATTTTATATATATATGGAAATGTATAGAGGGGAAATTACAAACATAGGATAAACACGAACGATACTGTTGCAGTATATTAGAGTAGTGATAACTTCTCATTTCTCGCGTCCAATGATAGTCCGATTCATTTAATGCCTATAACTCGTGAACATAGAATGCACACGCCGTTTAAGATAATACCATTACGTTTTCGATGGTTTCGATATAGGGAGAATTACAAATATATAAAGCAGACACGATTATTTATCAATTATAGAAATCTTTATTCAAAGAATATTTATTTTAAACTATAGTGATTAACATTTATATGTATATTATTAATATAAATTATAAACCATAACTTTAAACAAAATACAAAATTCGGCACTGTTCTGCGTAGTAACGCAGGATTTTGTTTAAAATTATAGTTTATATAATGATAATACGTATATGAATGTTAATTATTAATTTGCAATAATTTACAGTCAAACAATAATAAAAATATCTTTTGAGTAAATATTTCTATTAATTAAACTTTGTCGGCTACATTTAGCTTTTTTTTCTAAGTGTTTGCAGTTTTCTCATTCTGCCCTACCTATCTAAATAAAATATTAGAATTCTAATATTAGGAAAAAGTCAATTTTTTAATAAAAATAGAGCTATAATTTGCTACTTAAATATCAAATTTTAAATTAGTAGTAAGAGAGTTATTTTAATATATCTTAATAATTTTAAGTATTACATGCTACATCCATTAATAAAAACATCTCTCTCCATTTTTAAAATTATCTGTAGTAGATATGTTACATATAATATAATGTTAACAATAAAAAATTAAGTTTTTTATAAGACTCCTTTAATTCATATAATAAGACTATGCACAATTTAACTAGCCTATTAGGAGTCAGCGCTGGAACGAATATTGCGCAGTGTAATAAAACAAATTTTAGTCAGAAAATTAAAACAATGAACGTTTCTGTTCAATTTTGAGCCATCTGCAGCAATATTTCATTTTACCGCATATAACGTTGAATTATGAGTCGTAAATCATAATTGCTGGAGATGGCTCAAAATTGAGCAGAAACGTTCATTGTTTTAATTTTCTGACTGAAATTTGTACATTGTTACACTGCACAATATTCGTTCTAGCGCTGACTCCTAATAGCTTAGTTAAATTGTGCATAATACAATGTCATATACAATATTTAAAAATATCTCAAGAAATGTAATTTAATTATAATGCAATAATATCGTTTTCTGATTAAATTATTATTATTCTAACTTTATAAATCCAAAAACAAAATATTCCGTAATATTATTATTAATCTGCAAAATCTATTTTTAACTTTTTATACAAATTAATAATTATTGTTATTGATATTAGAAATAATATCGAAGTATATTATTCTCATATCAAAATTAAAATTAAACTAATATGTTTAAAAATTTATTCTGCACGTCCAAGCGACATCGAAATATATAATTTTATTATATATATAAAAGCAATTTTTAATATTATATAAAACCCAATATAACACATAAACAGAGCGCCTTACCTACGACGTGTAGGTAGCCATATTGCGTTTTGGCGGCAGCAGTGTTAATCTGGCACATGTACTTTCCCTTGTCCTCCTCGTGCACGTCGTTGATATGTAGGAACCAGGTCCTGTGCTTATCGTGCGACACGGATATTCTGGGGTTCCTGGTAATAACGTGATTCTGTACCGTCAGAATAGCGCTCTTGTCGAAAAGCATCCAGGCCACCTGAAACGAGATGGATATCACATTATACATCGTATAAACGCAATTCATGTATCGATTTTTACAAAGTTGCTGCTCGTTCTCATAACGAGATACTTCGTAATATCATTCCCATTAAAAATTGTACGTGTATTTTGCAAGGCGCGTTATTAACTGCACCTTGTTTTCTCATTAACGTTAAGATTTCGAATAAAGAGATTCTTCAACCACCACGGGGGAACGGTATGGGTAGATATTATATCTTTTCAATTTTTAGTTGCGCGCCAAAATGCAAGGAGGATACGTATGGTATGGAAAAAGAATAAAGATGTATAGTAACGATATAAAGGAAGGAAAAGAACAAGAAAATATAGGATTGAGATTCGCGAACGAGACGGATGATCAATGATGCTTTCAAGCATGGAGTGATCTACAAACCTACTATGGTTATAGATATTCACCAGTGGGATAAATCGCTCCGGGATTTCGAGGGCATATGTATGTACTAACGTGCAATGTATTTGTATATAGCGCGTTGTGATATGCGCTTGATGTTTTATACGAGCAAAGTTTTCCGAGAACACACGATGATGCTGTGCAGACGAATAAAAACTGGTGTCCCCGTAGAGAGAGAGAGAGAGAGAGCCCGACCATTTTTCTCTCGTTAAATGACCGCTTATTGAGCATCTGGATGGTTGCATAGCATCGATTGCTATTGTCGCGAAAAATATGTAAGCTTTCCATCCTCATCGAAGTAGGGAAAAATAGAATAAGAAAACGGAGGCGGAGATAAGTAGAAAGTATCGCGACAACGAGATACGGAAGTGCTCTGAGATATTTAGCCGATTTTCCTATTCACGTCGAAGAAAGTGAAGGCCGAAGAAAGGTAACAAAGAGAAACGAGGGGCGAGGTAGAGAATAAAGAGAATTCTGATCTCTCATTCGCTCGCTGCGAAAAGTCCCTGGAGAAATAAGAAGGGCAGCGAGTTCTTTCGCTCGAGCACGAGGAACGTTGCACTTCAACACAGCCCGCTCCCTTTCACAATGTGCAAATGCGCTGTTGTACAGACAGGCTATATTGCGCCATCGTGATAACTCTCGGCGTCGCGACGCTAACCCGTAATGTTCGCGCGAGAGGCTTGCCAGAGAGCCGCGCGAAGATAAAAGAGAATATCTCATCATAATTTATTAGAAAAGTCGCAATTGTTCTGTTATTAATAATACATATAATTATTAAAATATATTACAATTACAATATTATTTACGAGAGAAGAGTACAAAAAGGCAAGATAGATTTTCGAAACGCAATTTCTCGAGAAATGCAAGAAGATTCAAAGTCTTCACGATAAAGTCACATATAAGATAAACACGTTAATCGGCACGATTCAATTATTGAACAAAATGACAAAAATTTTTAATATTAAGTTTTTAATGATATGTATGACTCTAAATAAATTCATATTATTATATAAATAACGAATTTATTTAGAGCCATACAAATTTTTAAAAGTTGTAATATTTAAAGTTTTTATTATTTCATTCAATAATTTTTTAGGTCAAGCCCGCACTATGACTGTCCTTTAACTATAGTAGATAGATTTACTTTATATGAATTTACCGTTTACAATCGATTGATGCAATAGAGGAACAAAGTATTTCTACGATCATAAATCTCAACAAGCATAACTATTCGCTTCTGACTTGGAACTAAGATCGTTTCGCAGTCGTTTCTCGCGTCTTCCGACCGTAACCGAATTTTCGTCCACCATTTATCCAGTCGCTCTTGCACCGGCGGCTGTCGGCGGTTATCTTCGCAGAGATATACGAATCTCGGCGGGGATTCCCGGCGTCGCGTCGGTGGGATTGCATAGATACTGAAAAACGCAGTTGACACTTTCATCATTTGCCTTTCCGCAACAACGTATCAATTGTTCGAATTTCATGATGGCAGCTTTACATTACGATTTACATACAATTCTTCTTTTTTTTTTAAATTATTTTTTTATTCCAGTTTGTCGAATATATGTATTAAAATATAATTCTTTTAGGCGTAATTTTTTTTTAATACAAATGAAAATTACAAAAATGTGAAACCGAATTTACTTCACTTTATTTTACAAAAGATGAACCACATTAAAAATAAAATACAATCGTCTGTTTTGTACATTGAATTCTGTGTTTAATTGAAATAGTTGTCACGTGGTTATAAGTTACAAGTTCACTTCATTAGAAAAATTTATTGAGGATAAAGCAGAAATTGTTAAATGATGCGATACTTTTCGTACATTTTAAAAGAGTTTTCTCAACTTTGTAACATTCTTTAAAAAATTCTTGGAGAAGATCCAGATAAAATGAGTTATAAGCTTGGGCACCTATGTTCTTTACAGAACAATAAGGGTCCTTAGCTTCGTTTGATCTTTTTCATTGGCATACGGATAATCGAAGGAAATACTATTGTATTCTCTATTTCCTTTGATTGTCATTGCTTGCTTTGTAAGAGCAAGCGTTGAACCTGCTTCTCCTTCAGGTTCTTATTGCATTCAATAAACACAAAAAAAAAAAAAGAAACAAGAAAAATATTGCAGTCATAAGACAGAAAAGTCCATTATTAAAAGCGTAATTCTCAACGGCACCGACGCAATCTCCATGCAACGAGAAACCAATTTCTACCTTTTATCTGCTTCGTCACTTCACGACGACCTCGACGATCCGCTTGCAACGATGTAAAATTGGTATTTCGTAAAGTTGAAGACGCCGCGATACGAAGGTGACAAGAAGAGAGCTATACGCGGAAAGTAAATTCGAGTGACCATCTTTCCGAGACTTGCAGCTCGCTTTCCGACGCATCAACATGCAAGCCACACCAAAACTAAGATAGATGCGCGGGCGCGCGAGGGAGGTTTGCTCTAGGAGTTTGTTCCCCCAAGAGCCGTGGCACGAAGCATTGATTCCTCAGCGTGAGAGGAGAGTTACAGCTTTGTTTACTACGAGGGCGACGAGCTCAGCGCCGTCCAGTCTGGCTTGGCGCTGGCTATGTGTTGCCGGTATCTTCTTTTCTACCACATTCTCCTTTTCTATTTCTCTCTTTCCACGACTAGTTCGTGACTCCCTTTTCCTCCTCCGTTCCCACCCCTCGGTACGTCTGGACCGGGAGACCTATAGTTAACGTCAAGATCAACTCTCTTCGTCCTTTCCAACGTTCTTCTTCCACGCGAGTACTCCATGGTCCCCGCGTACGCAAACACATTCACTAGGCGGTTTATACAGAACCGTGGAAAGCGAAAGAGCAGCGTGGCTGTCGGTTGAGCCAACCGTCTCGCACACCCCTTCCCGTCGTCTCCCCAACTCTTGGCCATTGTGTATGTGGAAAGTTGGACCACATTCCGGCTGAATGTATTACAACCACTTAACCCGCAAGCTGTCGAGACCTTCAGACCGGAGAATCCATGCAGCGTATGAACCTCTACCGAGGCTGATAGTTTCGCTTAATAGGCACATTAAGCTCGCTGATGGTTAGCTCCAGTTTTTTTTAGCGATTATATGTACAAGTGATACTTTTTATATAGAGATGTACAGATTAATAAGAAGGGTTTTTGTCAAATTTACCAAGTATAACTCAAAACAAAATCACAACAGAATGCAATTCTTGCTATTGACTTGAACATATTTTTATTTTTACTTGCAGACTATTTTTTCCATTATCTTTTTAAAAAGCTCTCTAAATATTTTTGAACAACATTTAAGTGAGAATCTTGATCAATGAGATTGAATACACACATGAGTAAAAAAATGCTATATTCGATTAAGGTTCTTTACAACTAATAACATTTCTTGTAAATTTATACAATTTTCAATTTAAGCAAATTATGCACCGATTATTTGTCGGACTTAAAACACAGTCCTAAATGAAGACAGTAGGAGTAATACCACAAATTAAATTGATAAGTAATTTAATATTATTGACGCAAATAAGTTGACAATATCCGAGTTCGAAGTTCAGCTGAGGTAACATTCTTCGCAATAAATTATTTACTGTTTTTAAGACGCTTATTAGCAACAAATTATTAACAGCTTTCTAAGATGCTTATTTGCATCGATAATATTAAATCGCTTGTAAATTTAATTTGTGATATTACTACTCCAATTTTAGAGAAAACTGTTTTAAGATCGATAAATAATAATCGGAGTACAGTTTGGTTGAATTGAAAACTATATAAATTTATAAGAAATATTATTAATCACTTTCACTGGGAGTACTTTTAAATTTATTCAATATGAAATTTGACAGAAATCTTTGAGAAGTCTTATACTCGCGTTTATTTATGAATTGACACAGAATTAATCGAGAAGGATCAGCTTTCCTATCCTTGTTTTCTTCCTTCTTATTAATTTTATGGAAGCAAAACAAATTTATTGAATAACGCTATCATTAACTTTAAATACTCGCATCTTATTATTACAGACACTTTATTTTCTCGCATACGTAAATACAATTGTTTAGATATCGAAAGATATCCGAATAGATATACGTGTAAAACGACGAGAAAAGTCGGTTAAGTCAGTTAAGTTCGCCGAACTTTCGTTGTACTTCTCTGTATAAAATTGGATCAGATTGGCACTCAAACTGTCGAAAATTCAGACCGGTCGGCCATGTTCTCCTCCCTGCAGCTAGGTTCAACAAATTGACCGCGATAAATTGTCTCTCGACACGCCATCGTTTTGTGTCGGAATTAGATTTTCTTCGAGTTTCGTTTTACACGATAACAAATTAACAGTATTGCCAGGTAGGTGCGTTTTATTTACGTAAAATCTGGATTTCTGGATCTGTTAAATTAATGAATGGAGAAGTAACAGTGAGGTGTGCCGAGACTTGCGGGAGCTTCTTCATTAGTAACCCCTTCTTATCTCACGCTCATACCATACCATACACGAACTTAGGACACCTTATAGATAAATGTATTAGGACCACTTATCCCACAAGCTGTCGAGTGCTTCGAGGTTGTAGACAACCTCTTAATTATCAT